GCTGAGGTAGTGTCTTGTATCTTTCTTCAGCCTGCATTTCGCTGACTGCATCACTGTGGTGTCATTAACTGTATTCCTCTGTTCCCTCTCTTTCCTACGGTTGGTAGATAAAAGACATTTTGAAGTCAGTAAATGGTGTGGTTGTGGTAGTAAAGGTGTGAAATATGGCCCCTCGTGTGCATCATCATTGAACAGGTCTATTATCTGTCCCATCTGTCTGTTTTCTCTTTTTGGAACTCCTATCAGCCAGACTTTGGACTGCTTGAATCTATTCTCTTAATCTCATATAGGTATTTTTCTTCCTCCCGTCTTCCCTCCCTCCCTCTCTTCCTCTCCTCCTCTCCCCATCTCCCCATCTCCTCTCCTCCCTGCCTTCCTTTCCTCCTTCCAGGGAGAAATCCTACACTGTCTTTCAGCTACTCTTGAACTTTTTTATTACTAAGTCTTTATCATTGTTGTCTGACTTTTTAAAAATGTAGACACAAAAACCTGGAATTTATCATTTTAATACATATAAATACTTGTGAGATGTTTAGTATAACATCAGCATCTTATTCTTTGTAGTTTTTAGAGTAATTTTAACTTTCGTTTAAAAAATAATCAGTCCCATGAGGACGGTAGCTGTTCAAGTGCCTCAGAGAGATTGCTGTAGCCCCAGATAATTGGATCAGGTTTGAATCCAGGTCCTCTGGTTTAATTCCCTTCTTTCTCTAGCTAATTGCTGAAAGTTATTTTTGCTCATTTTTAAAACTGTTCCTTTTAATGAATGCTAATTAAATTTTGGAAACAGATTAAAGTCATGTATTTAGTAGAATTCTATTTTCTCATATCAGATAAGCTTTTCTAGATGATTTTGATGAATTTGTGGAAGTTGCTCTGCTTATAATTTTTAAGCTGAATGACTTTATATTTTTTTCAGGTACTTTCAGTAACTGATATTCTGTAAAGAGTAATTGGTAGTTCTGTATTCTATAAAGAGTATGGTAGTTCTAAGGCTAATATGTATTTTGTTTCAGCTAAATTTTGTAAACAAAATATTCTCACATACAGTATATTATCTCTTTTTTGTACTTGTGTTTCTCTTCTTATAGTTTGGTTTCTACCTGCTTCATGAAATGTAAATTTTTCTGTTATGTTTTAAAAGTACTTCATATCTATATATAAATAGTATGTAGTATAGTTTCATATTTTTAACGTAATAAATACTTGTACAGCACTTGCACATACTGTTTTCCCCAAAATAAGACCTAACCATAAAATAAGCCCTAGCATGATTTTTCAGGATGCTTGTAATATAAGCCCTACCCCAAACATAAGCCC